AAAACATTACTGTATCAAACCATTTCACATACATTTTGTCCCGAGTGCTTTGTCCTGCGCCCTGCCTGCATTTTTACTGTTCTTTCTGCCTGGAAACTGAGAAATGTCCATGGCGTCCAAAAAGCGTCCCTTTAGGTCAAAATCGGTTTTAGACCGGCTAGAGAACAGCGATAGTAAATCAGAACCACTTGCAGAATTGAGTGATAATGATTCGTGGGGGAATTTGTCATCAGACACTGAAAACGATTCTGCGACTTTGCTCAGTGATGTGTGAACTTGGCGCTATATTTCACATTTCAGTGTTTTTGGTTTGATTATATTATTTAATTAAATTTATTATATGTTTTATGATTATTAAATTATAATTTATGATTTCGTGTTTCAAATTTTATCCTACCCGGGATGTTTACTAGACTCTTGTTCTGACAGATTTCAGTGAGTTATTCCTAAAAATTACAGGCCTACAATAAAAAAAATACGTATTTCCATACAAAAAAGTGTACCGCTTTGAGCACAGAAATATGGACATAATCAGACCGCTAGGGAGGTTAAAGTGTTCATAAACTCTACATTGTAACTTTCCTCCAATAAAACCATTCCTAAGCAATAGACATTGATGCTTGCTTTACATTCAGCTAGGGCTGCAACTAGCGATTTATTTTCATATAAGATTAGTTGGCTCGATTTATTTTTTCGGTTAATCAGATTAAAACCTCAAAAGTTTGGTGTATAATTTAGTTAATATGTAAAGTTAAAAAAGACACTTATTCTTAAATATTTCTATGCAGTGGTAAATATAAACTAGAAAGGCTACAATTTCTGGGGAAATTGTGTGAAGTGCGCTTGCCTCCACCAGTAGTCTACAACTGGAGTGGGCGGAGTAACTGGGTGGAGTAACTGTTGTGTGGTTGGAGTGGCTGGAGTAACTGTGAAAAGATTGGACTGGGCAGAGTAACTTTATGGAGTGGGCGGAGTAACTGGGTGGAGTGGGCGGAGTAACTGTTGTGTGGTTGGAGTGGCTGGAGTAACTGTGAAAAGGTTGGACTGGGCAGAGTAACTTTATGGAGTGGGCAGAGTAACTGTGTGGAGTGTTTGGAGTGAGTAAAGATAGTAAACCTTACACTAACCAATTGATCAAATTTAAAAAGTGCACATGGCAAGCTTGATAGAGTGAGAAATGCATTTCAACTTTGAATTATTTATATAGCACATTTAATTGCAATGTTGTTGCCCAAAGTGCTTCACAGTTACATTAAAACATACATTTATAAAAACATTAGCAGCATTATCACCTCAAATACTCTCTACTGTAGAAAACTTATTTCCAAACCTTTAACCAGAAGCCGGCCAAACTGTCATGAATTCAAAATTAGATTTCAAATAGGGCAGAGAAGAGCGGTTAAAAACAAACTGCTGCAAATTGCTCTCTTCACTGGCGTCTTCAAATGGTCGTAGTTTTAAAAACTATAAATCCTACAGCGAAGAGCTTTATATTGTGAGAATCACAAGACCCAGACCTACATTTTGATGCATAGTATGTCTCTGAAATATTAAAAATGAAGGCACAGTTGCAGTTTAGAAATTGCCCTTCAAATTTGAGGTGGCTAGAGTGCAGTTTCAATGATGTCAATGGGCGGCATGAGTTGCAAACGGTCATATTATGAAAACTATCCGGACTATGGCTTAGCCGTGGACATTTTTTTAGTGGCAGCAGGGATAGCTGAATGATTTGATATATGATTTGTGTAGGTGGGCTTGAAAATGAGGGCGTGATGGCAGTTTAGAAATCATGTCCTGATTTTTCAGCTCACACTCTAGCTTTTGTCACTCTGCTGGCTGCTCACACACCTGGGTTCCTATGGCAACTCATTCTACAGCAAGGGCAGAGAAGAGCGGTTAAAAACACACTGCTCCAACTTGCTCACTTCACTGGCAGTTGCCATCTTCAAACGGTTGTAGTTTAAAAATGATAAATCCTACACTGAAGAGCTTTATATTGTGATAATCACAAGACCCAGACCTACTTTTGTATGTATAGTATGTGTCTGAAATATCGAAAATGAAGGCACAGGCACAGTTTAGAAATTGCCCTTTAAATTTGAGGTGGCTAGAGTGGAGTTTCAATGAATGTCAATGGGCAGCGTGAGTTGCAAACAAATGGTCATTATGTGAAAACTATCAGGACTATGGCTTAGCCGTGAGCATTTTTAGTGGCAGCAGGGATAGCTGATCATTTTGATGTAAGATTTGTGTAGGTGAGCTTAAAAATGAGGGAGTGATGGCAGTTTAGAAATCATGTCCTGATTTTTCAGCTCACACTCTAGCTTTTGTCAGCTCCCACTCTAGCTTTGAACATTCCGCCATTCATACCTATGGGACCAATTTCAGCACAAAAACGCCGATATTTTGTGAACCATTCGGCGAAACGTTCCACAAAGTAATAGCACACCAATCGGGAACAATCCGCACGTTTCCGTATATTACTGTCTATGTAGTGTAAAAAACTGTGGGAGGAGTTAGGGTGGTAAATTTAGCTATAATAATATACATGTGAGATAACCGTAAGTGGTCGCCATGCAAGAACACTTAATAACCAGCTGTAGGGTTAGGGAACAAAATATCTAATCCACTCTGAGAATGACAGACAGAAGTATATATACTAGGCCCATTTACAACTTCCTGAAAAACCCCATGTGACTTTCTACGTCACAAGGGGATGTCAACAGCGGCTCTGACCACAGGACAAGAAGGGTGGCCATAAAAGTACTGTACATCACTTGTTGGCTGTAGTCTACTTTTTTTTTTCTTTCTAAACGCACATCATAAACTAGGCGCTGGTGTTGATTCATAGACATGCCGGACTTGGTTGCCGTAAAAATCCCCGTGTGAGGCTTGGCTAACATATAGTGCGCATGTGCAAGATTGCGGCCATTGCTAACAGGGCCAAAGCAATATACATTGTGGAGGCAGAAGACAGCAGATAACTTGGTGCCGAATGGGAAGGATGAAAATCAAAATAAATAGTAAGAAGCATCCGAGGTGGATAATTAATACGGCAGAATGATGTAAAAAAGCTTTTGTATGCTGGCTACATTGATTGTAAGAATTTAGATGGCCGCGTTTACTGTCGTTTTTAAACTTACTAAACCCACAACCGTAAAATCAGTCTGTATATGCAGCAAAGCATGCTTGTTATACTCACTGTGGAACCTAAGGGGTTAATCCTCTTCATTGTGTAAAAAAGATGTTAATCCCGTCTTCTCTGATTCTCCCCTTCTACATTCCCCATTTCTTCTCCTGATAGAACACAGCCTTGGGGGCACTTTGCACATGCTCAGTTTGGTGTGTACTGCTAGAGTTTTCTTTTTCTTGGGAGGGTGATCACGATCAGCACAGGGCCAATCGGAACTGTCCAGACAGAGGGTCATGGGTTATGCAATCACATAGGGCAGTGAGAGGAGAATTAAAACAAGCTTTAACCAGTGCTCTGCTGGATACTGATAGAAGTTGTCACAAGACTGCTCTAACTGCTGACGAGAAAAGATATTTAGCTGTTTATATGTATTAAAATAATTGCATTTTCATAATCTGTGTACTGTGGGAGACCAGATATAGTGAATGCAGGGTCCTGCGTTTAGTAAAGCTTTAATGCATTCTCTGCAATTAAAGCAGGAATGCACTGCATCTGAGCATCACAAACCAAAAACACTGTTTGATCTAAAGCAAAATCACCCATCCGTCCATATGTCTCCATGCTTTATTTTGCTGAGAAATCACTTTGAACCCCTCCAGCATTTCTAGCTGTTGCCATCCTGAATAAGAGTAGATGGTTCTTGTAGTATTTACTTCCTGGAGTCCCTATTCCCATACAGGAAGAAGGGTGCGCTTAGCTGAGAAAACCCCCCTCCTTTCTTCCTGAAGACTCATGGGATACATTACTTGATTTGCCTAGGCCAGAAACCAGAAAGTAACTAAAGAAATATATAAATTTAAAAAAAAAAGTTTAAAACAAGTAAATATGATATGCTTTCCTATCTACTAATGCTAGCGGAATAAGAATTAAAAATGGTCAATGTTGATTGAGAGAGTGAAGTTCCTCTTTAAAAAAAAAAAAAAAAAAAATCTTCCGAGATTCCCCCCCTTTAGCCCCCCTAATTACTTACCTGAGCCTGAATTTAATCCATTGCTGTGCTCTCTCTCCCCTCAATGGACATGGAGACAGCAGCAGGAGCCATTGGCACCTACTGTTGTCAATCAGATCCAATGAGGAGGGGTTTGGGCCGAGCCAGGTTCTGTGGGTTTAAAGCAGAACGAAGGCAAAAGTTTGTGTGTGTTTTTTTTTCTCAATTTGGATAGAGCAAGGGAGGGTTTCCATAGTCAAACAAGAAGTGACTGGAAATCCTTTCAAATTAACAGAATTTTTTGGAGACCCCCAGGTCACCAGAACTATTGCCCCCATTGGAAGATTTCCCTTCTTTTACTTTTTTGGGGACAACACAAAATTTGGAGTTTTCTTTTACTTACACTTTCAATAATAACGGTAAACAGGACATATAGAGGGTGAATCTCCCCAACAGCGGCATAGACTGTAATAAAACCTGATAGGGGTTCTAATCCACCTCCACTCTATGCTAAACAAAAAAATATACAAATTTCCTTTATTTAAGCTTTAATTTGCTGGAGAGTGAAAAATCCGGTGCAGCTCTGCATAGAAACCAATCTGCTTTCAGGGGGTTTTTTTTTTGTGAAAGTTTAATTGAACAAACTGAAGTTGGAAGCTGATTAAGTACAATGCAGAGCTGCACCAGATTTTGCACTCTCCAGGTTTAGAAAATCAACCTCTGTGTGTCTATAGACATACAAAGCCTGGCTTGGGAGCAAGCCCACATGTGTGCCCCCATAGTAAGCGCTTGCTATGGGAACAGACACTGAAGAGGATGAGCAAATGGCGCCAGCAGGGAACATGAGAAAAGGGGTTTTAGGGCTGCTTTGTGCAATACCATTCTAATACCACATGACATGTTTCTTAATTTAATAGATAAAATAGCCTTTAGTAACGCTTTAAAGCTGCAACTAATTGCTAGTAATAGTTTATTGCTGAACAGAGGCATAAAAATCCTATGGAGTACAGAATTGATCATGGATACAACAAAATGTGTCGCTTTAATCCCCAAGGAGCCATTTGTTTCCTTTTGATTTGCTAAATCACTAAAGATTTTAGTAGCATGGCTGACCTACTGAAATTTCCCTGTGTAGTTGTAGCTTAAGCCCCGGTCACATCAAGCCCAATTTTGAAATCGTGCAACTTGCAGTGAAGTCACGCGATTTCAAAGTCGGGTGAGATGCCAATTTCAGGTGCGATTTGCAGGACATCTGACCAGGGTAGATTCGATTTAAATCACGATTTAAATCACTAGTCAGTAAGGCTTGATTTAAATCCTAGTTTTCTACCTAAAGACTAATTCTTGCTGGTATAACTTTAATATACAAGTAGATGAAGATTTTTAGAATAACAACTTTTCATATTAGTTTTTTTATCCCCAGTTTAATAGGTTAATCATTCATATTTGGACAACTTTTCTGTTGTACTTAGGAAGGAGAAAAATAATCATTACCTTAATAATAACTATTTAAATAGATTTATTCATCTGAAACAATAACATTCCAGCATATGTGATTTGCTTAAACATCCATGTTTAACTAATTTGGCTAAACAAAATATATATATTTTAAGAAACTTAGACTGTCAGCCCCTTCCTCCTCACACTTAGTTTCACTTTCTTCTTGTGCAGATCTATTCCACTCCAAACAATCAGAAAAATATTGTTTCTATTCACTGAACCGATTTAAATAAAAAAAAATCCGTTTTTTTTTTTTTTTTAAATCGTTGATTTTTATCCACCCTGCATCTGACACAGATGTCTGCAAATCGCACCAAAAGTAGTGCATGCACTATAGAAATCGGTGCGACTCCGACCAAGTCAGAACCGTACTGATATGACCGCTCTTAATAGCGGACAATAGGGTCGCCCCCATTGTGGGGGGGGTGGGGGTGGGTTAGGAAGTTACTACTTATAACTGGTTAAATCTTAGCAAGAGATTAAATATGCAGGTGTAATTGAGCCATTCTCTGCTCAAGAAGGTATAGACCTAAGGCTAGGTTCACACCTATGCAGTGTGCGTTTGAGCCGTTTTCTGCATTGCGTTTTGTGTTTTTGGCAGGTTTTTTTTTTTTTTCTTGTTGCTCAGCAGATTTAAAACGTATCAAAAACACGGCAAACATGCACTACATGCATTTCTGCAATGTTTTCCATTTAAGTCTATAGAACCAAAAATGCAACTTTTTGCATTCAAAAAAGTCCCTGAACCTTTCCAAAAAAACGGACTGGGTGAAAATGCGGAGATCTGAACGTATCCCATAGGAAATCATGTTAAATGGGACTGTACTGTGTTTCTGCAAAGTGCTGCGGAAAACACGTAGGTGTGAACCTAGAGTAAGCACAGGTAGAACTCTCCATACTTCCCTGTCGCTGTGGATTGCCTGTTTTACATGGTATACCGAAGAAGTGTCATATGGCCAAATCTGCTTTGTTTCTTATGTTTTCTTTTTTTTTTATGTTTGGTTAGGGATCATTGCCTCTTTATGTGAGAAGTACAAGTAAAACTGTAACGCATACCGTGTTCTATTCAAAATGAGGATTTCTGGTATACCCAAGAAGTGTCATATGGCCAAATCTGCTTCGTTTCTTGTGTTTTTGTTTGTTTTTTATGTTTGTTTGGGGATCATTGCCTCTTTATGTGAGAAGTACAAGTAAAACTTTAACACATACCGTGTTATGATCAAAATGAAGATTTTTAGTCTTGATGACAAATAGGTATGCACTGTGTGGTTTCTATTGGTGTGACGATTCCTGCAACAATTAATTATCTCTGCATAATATATTTGTCAGACTCCTGTGGAATTTGCAAAGCATGTTGTCTTTTGGCAGTTTGTTTTGGTCTTTGTAGTTTTTTTTTTTTTTTTTTTTTTTTTTTTTCTTGTGTAAAAATACATGAGAGAGTCTCCATATCATTACCTGTTAGAGGGTTTTCTGTAGGGTCTGTTGTAGTCTCTGGTTACAAAGCCTGTGTTCTGAGCTGTCAGGAAATGCGTCAGTGCTTTGTGGGGAGAGCTTTGCAGATGACAGTGTCAGTTATGCATCCCACAGACTTCTAGGCATGGCTTTGATAATGTCTGTGCCCTGCTTTGTTCACTTCGGTTGCAATCTGGATCAATGAACAGTGTTATTCAAGGGTGGATGTAAGTTAGACGTGCCATTGATAGACCAAGTTTGAGCCCTGAAGTGTAACGCCATGCTCCAAATAAAGTCCAGATTATTGCAGGGCCCTCCTATCCCTCTTGTATTGAACTGTATTGTGTCCCATTATATTGTAAAGCGCTGAGCAAACTGTTGGCGCTATAGAAATCCTGTGTAATAATAATAATTACTTTCTCTCTCGTGTGCAGTCATGTTGATTTGAAAAGCTTAGTAAATACCATTGCTATCCTATTGTAATCCACATGTTGTAAAGGTTGGTTCCTTCCAATGAGTATAGGAGTGTTCTAGTGCACCAGACCTCACTAAGTGATGTGCCCTCGCGATGTGGGTGATGGGTAGGTGCATGTCAGTCGCCAGTCTGTTCACACTCACATGGAAATGAGGGATCCAGTGGATGGGATGAATGGGAGTTCTCTTACATCTGTTGGTGTACAATGGACACCTTGACCTGGTCCAGACCTTTCTAGTCAGTGGGGCTAAACTAAAAAACCAGGAAATAACTTTAAGTTTTGCTGTTGTCACTGGTAATGGATAAAATAGGAATATGTTGAAGTATTCCTAAAGGCAAAACTGTTGTTTAGTGTTGGATAGAGTGGAGAGGGGTTAGAATACATGCCAGTTTTTATTGCTGTCTGTTCCCCGTTGGGGAGATTTACCCTCTCTCTATTTGTCCTGCTTACCATTATCATTGAAAGTGAAATTAAAATAAAAGTTTGTGTTGTCCCCAGAAAAGTAATAGAGCGGAAATCTTCCAATGGGGACACTAGTTCTGGTGACCTGGGGGAGCCCTAGGGATTCCCTTTATTTGCAGGGATTTACTCTCGCTTCTTGTTTTGACTATAGGACAGAAATTGAAAGTAAATCTCTCCAATGGGACTCAGATGGCGCAAATAAGAAAAAAAAAAATGGACAGGAATTATAATCCTCCTTTATCCAAAATGGGGAAAAAAACGTCTTGCTGATCTGCTTTTAAAGTGTTACTAAACCCTGGACCCTGCATTCACTATATCCGTTCTCCCTGGACCCCTGCATTCACTATATCCGTTCTCCCAGGACCCTGCATTCACTATATCTGGTCTCCCAGGACCCTGCATTCACTATATCCGCTCTCTCTGGACCCTGCATTCACTATATCCGCTCTCCCTGGACCCTGCATTCACTATATCCGCTCTCCCTGGACCCTGCATTCACTATATCTGGTCTCCCTCAGTACACAGAACATGGAAATGCATTTATTTTAGTAAATGTAGACTGCTAAATACCATAAATAGGCAGTATATAGCAGTCTTGTGACTTCTATCAGTGTCCAGCAGAGCACATGTAGGAGGAGTTTTCATTCTTCTCTCACTGTCCTGTTAGGAGGCAGGACCCCTGATCCTCTGTCTGGACCGTGCTGATTGGCCCTGTTCCGATCACATGCACCCTCCCAAGAAAAAAACAAACAAACTCTAGCAATACACACCACACAGAGCATGTGCAGCTTTCCCCCAAGGCTCTGTTCTATCAGGAGATGAGTCAGGGACACTGGAAGAATGGGAGGATCGGAGAAGACAGGATCAAACACCCTTTTTGCACAGTGCAGAGTATTAACCCCTTAGGTTCCACAGTGAGTATAACGAGCATACTTTACTGCATATACAGAATGATTTTACTGTTGTGGGTTTAGTAACACTTTAGGAATAGCATCTACTGCTAAGTGATAGACAGGTTTGTAAATACTCACACTTACAATCCAGTCTATGGCAGGGGCGGACTGATAACTCATGGGGCCCCCGGGCAATAGGGGATCATGGGGCCCCTGTGTCCTTGCCCAAACTCAAAAAAGCCTATGAAAAAGGTACCAGGGGGGCATCTCATGGGGCCCCCTACTGACCCCGGGCCCTCGGGCAGTGCCCGAGTTTCCAAATGGTCAGTCCGCCCCTGGTCTATGGATGTTTGGCCTTGGTTCTAGGGCCCACTTGCACCATGCAGGTGTTAATGCATTGCGGTTCCATTCACTTTCATTGGTGCCCCAACACGCTAAGGCAACACACCTCTGACACACGGTGATGCACTACCATGTTGCGGTGTGCTGTGTCATGAAAAACGCTGCATAGTATTAGTAAAAAGAAAAGGTATGTCATAGATTTGAGGGCTGCCACAGTACAAATCACCTAACCTGAAGCTGCGAATTAGATGACCTGAAGCTGCAAAGCGAAGACTGAGGCTCGGCCTGCCTTTAATCATGTTTCATGTTACACCCATATTTAAGGCCCGCTGGTGATTGCTAATAAATGTGTGGGAATGAGTTGATGGAGAACATACAATTCAGTTGTTTGGGTGAGGCAGGATAACCTTCCCTGAAGACTTTGTGTTATTCGGGGATAGCCTAAAGTCCTTCAGAGTGCGGGGAATAGCTGGACAGAGTGGTGTAGAGGGTTCCTGCGGATGAGAGAGGCTCTGGGGAAGTTTTGGAGGCGAGCATTGGAGGAAGTGATGAGGGAGCTAGAGAATGGGCTGAATGGGAAGATTACAGATCCCATCAGCCATCCCCAGCAGAGGAATTCGCAGGTCTCAATGAGTGGACCCATTTGGATGTAAACAGGGCAGGTTCCTGTGCGTTGCACCCACAATGCCCTGATCGTGGTTGTGGAATTGTGAATACTTTTTTTTTTTTCTTCTATTTTTGTGAGTTCATTTATTAAATTTTGGAAAATTTACACT